GAAGCCACTTCTCTCCAAGAAAAACGTCAAGGACAGACTGAAATTCTGCAGGAAGTGTAAGGATTGGACAGCAGAAGACTGGTGCGAAGTAATTTTCTCTGAAGCTCTCTTCCGACTGTTTGGGACCTCTGGAAAATCGATTGTTCGGAGATGAAAAGGTGAACGCTACCTTGAGTCCTGTGATGTGTCAACAGCGAAGCATCCTGAGACCATCCATGTGTGGGGTTGCTTTTCAACCAAGGGAGTGGGCTCTCCCATAATTCTGCCCAAAAACACTACCATGAATAAAGAATGGTATCAAAACAACACTTCCAACGATCCATGAGCAATTTGGTGTTTTTTGTTTTGTTTTGTTTTTGTTTTCCAGCATGATTGAGTACCATGTCACAAAGCAAGAGTGATTAAAGTGGCTCGAAGATTATTACATTGAAATTTTGGATCCGTGGCCAGACAACTCCCCGGATCCCAATCCCATAGAGAACCCGTGGTCAGTCCTCAAAAGGTGAGTGGACAAGCAGAAACCCACAAATTGTGATGAACTCCAAGAGCTAATAAGGCAAGAATGGATCGCCATCAGTCAGGACTTGGCCCAGAAGCTAATATCCAGCATGCCAGAGCGAATTGCAGAGGTTATGACGAACAAGGGTCAACATTGTAAACATTGAATAATTATTATTTTTTTTGCCAATAAACGCCTTTAAAACTTATATGCCTATCATTGTTTTTCGGTATACCATAGAAACGTGGAAAAGTAATCTACAAATACTGAAGCAGCAAACTTTGCAAACCACAATTTGTCACTGCCAAAACTTTTGGCCATGACTGTATGCTTTAGTGCGCCACCCTAGGATTTTTACTGTTCCCCTCCGGCCATCACATCAACAATTTCCTGGAGGCGCTTCTGTTTAAAAGTTGAATTTAAACTTGAGGGCCACATTTTTAGAATGTGTTATGCGCGAGACACTGCAAAAATTGTGTGTGCAACGGTCAAACACATCTGTGGTTAACATAAGAAAAACAATGGGAAAATGGTTCTGTGTGAACCGGCCCTAACTCAACTGCATAGCTGATCATGAAGATTCCTCTAGAACAGGGGTGGCGAACGTCGGTCCTGGAGAGCCGCAGCCCTGCAGAGTTTTGCTTCAACCCTAATCAAACACCTGAACGAGTTTATCAAGGTCTGAACGGTTACTAGGAAGCTACAGGCAGGTGAGTTTTAATTGGGGTTGGAGCTGAACTCTGCAGGGCTGCGGCTCTCCAGGACTGGAGTTTGCCACCCCTGCTCTAGAATTTAGGGAATTATGATGCACTGTCATGTGCCATAGTTAAAACCCCTAAAGCCAGGCAGTAGGTGGATTAACCAGTGTTACCAGAGGGAAGGAGTCACATATAAACCCCTCCTTACTGCTAAACCATAAATAACACATATTTTGTTATTCCAATCCATATACACTATCAGCAAAGTCCCATACACATTACTCTGTCTAATAAACCAAGCTTTGACACAGCACCAGTATGTTGAGGATTCTGTGAAATATCCTTCCATAGTAGGTAAGTCAGTTTCTATAGGCTGCTGAGGAAACGTTTTAGCCTATGAGTAAATTTGTTTAATGATTTACTTTTAATCTCACATTATCTAAATCAGGGGTGCCCAAACTCGGTCCTGGAGGGCCGGTGTCCTGCAGAGTTTAGATCCAGCTTGCCTCAACACACCTGCCTGGAAGTTTCTAGTATGCCTAGTAAGACCTTGATTGGCTGCTTCAGGTGAGTTTGATTAGGGTTGGAGCTAAACTCTGCAGGACCGAGTTTGGGCACCCCGATCTAAATCATTAAGTACTCAAATTCTACAACACCTGTTTCCTTGAAGAAAAAAGTATCAGTACCATGGTACACTTGTATAGGTGCTTTGATAAATATAGTGCGGTTTTTGAAGTGCTGTAGGCATTTTTATTAGATTATTTTAATTTAAAAAAATAAAAAAGAATTAATTTAATATATAAAATAGTTTTGAATTGGGGATATAAGAACAGCATCTGTTTACCTTTATTCTAATTTCTTGATAAAAAGTGAAGAATGGCCCTGCAATTAGATTTGCTTAAAGGGAAAATCACCTAATAATGAAACTTTTGTCATCATTTACTCACCTCATGTCTTTCCAAACCTGTGTGACTTTCTTTCTTCTGTGGAACACAAAAGATGATATTTTCATAATTGCTGGTAACCAAACAAGTTTCAGGTGAAACTGAAACCTGAAACTGTTACCAACATTCTTCAAAACATCATCTTGTGTTTTCCACAGAAGAAAGTCTTATACAGTTGAGGTCAAAAGTTTACATACACCTTGCAGAATCTGCAAAATGTTGTTTTTTTTTTTTTACCAAAGTAAGAGGGATCGTACAAAATGTGTTATTTTTCTATTTAGTACTAACCTGAATAAGATATTTCACATAAAATACATTAACATTTAGTCCACAAGAGAAAATAATAGATGAATTTATAAAAATGACCCCGTTCAAAAGTTTACATATCCTTGATGCTCCAGAAGGAAAAACGATGCATTACAAGCCAGGGGTGTAAACTTTTAACGGAATGAAGATGTGTACATTTTCCTTATTTTGCCTAAATATCATATTTTTCATTTAGTACTGCCCTTCAGAAGCTACAGAAAATACTTACATGTTTCCCAGAAGAAAAAAATAAGTAAAATTTACCCTGATCTTCTTAATGCATGGTTTTTCCTTCTTAAGCATCAGTGAGCGTTTGAACCTTCTGTAATAGTTGCATATGAGTCCCTCAGTTGTCCTCAGTGTGAAAAGATGGATCTCAAAATCATACAGTCATTGTTGGAAAGTGTTCAAATACACAAAAAATGCTGAAAAACTAAATAATTTGTGGGACCTGAAGAATTTTTCTGAAGAACAGCGGGCAGTTTACAAACAAGGGACTCATGAACAACTATCACTAAAAGAAAAAAACAGCTGTGTGAGTATTAAGAATCAAGCGTATGTAAACCTTTGAACGGTGTCATTTTTATAAATTCAACTATTATTTTCTCTTGTGGACTATACTGTATGCAAACGTCTTTTATGTGAAATCTTATTCAGGTCAGTACTAAATAAAAAAATAACATGCATTTTGTATGATCCCTCTATTTTGGTAAAATAATTTACATTTTGCAGATTCTGCAAGGTGTATGTAAACTTTTGACCTCAACTGTAGTTTTGGAAAGACATGACGGGAGTAAATGATCAGAAATTGCATTTGCATGGATGGGTGAACTGTCCTTTTAAGCAATGAGATGCTATATTGTGAATATTCACAATATGTTAATATACAGTTAGGTCCATATATATTTGGACACTGAAACAATTTTTTTGTAATTTTGGTTCTGTATGCCACCAGAAAAGAATTAAAAACAAAACAATCAAGATGAAATTGAAGTGCAAACTTTAAGCTTTAATTCAAGGTGTTAAACAAAAGCATAACATAAAAAGCTTAGGAATTACAACCATTTTTATACACAGTCCCCCCATTTTTAGTGGCTCAAATGTAATTGGACAAATAAATATAATCATAAATAAAATGTTCATTTTTAATATTTTGTTGAGAATCCTTTGCAGGCAATGACTGCCTTAAGTTTGGAACTCATGGACATCCCCAGAGACTGGGTTTCCTCCTTTGTGATGCTTTGCCAGGCCTTTGCTGCAGCTGACTTCAGTTGTTGTTTGTTTGTGGGTCTTTTTTTGCCTTTAGTTTTGTCTTCAGCAAGTGAAATGCATGCTCAATCGGGTTGAGATCAGGAGATTGACTCGACCATTGCAGAATAATCCACTTTTTTACCTTCAAAAACTCCTGGGTTACTTTTGCTGTATGTTTTGGGTCATCGTTCATTTGTACTATGAAGCACTGTCCAATCATCTTTACTCCATTTGACTGGATCTGGGCAGAGAGTATATCCTTATACACTTCAGACTTTGTCCAGCTGCTTATATCTTCAGTCACGTCATCAATAAACACCAGTAACCCAGTGCCACTGGAAGCCATGCATGCTCATGCCAGCACACTGCTCTACCATGTTTCACAGATGATATTGTATGCTTTGGATCATGAGCTGTTCCAAGCCTTCTCCGTACTTTTTCTTCCCGTTATTCTGGTACAGGTTGATCTTAATTTCAGCCGTCCAAAGAATGCTTTTCCAGAAGTGGTCTGGCTTTTTTAGATGTTTTTTGGCAAAGTCTAATCTGGCCTTGTTTGCAGCTTGTGGTGAAGCCTCTGTATTTGCTCTGGTGAAGTCTTCTCTTGATTGTAGACTTTGACAGTGTCACACCTACCTCCTGGAGAGTGTTCTTCTCTTGGCTGGATGTTGTGAAAGGGTTTTTCTTTACCATGGAGAGGATCCTCTGATCATTTTTTCTCAGAATGAACTAAAATGTTGATTTGGCCACTCCTAATGTTCCTGCTATCTCTCTGATGGATTTCTCTTGTTTTTGAAACCTAACAATTGTCTGTTTCACTTGTATGGAGAGATCCTTTGACCGCATGAGGTGGGCTCACAGCAACCACTTCCAAATACAAATGGCACACTTAGAATCAACTCCAGACCTTTTACCTGCTTAATTCAGGTAGAAATAACGAAAGAATAGCCCATGCCTGTCCATTAAACAGCTTTTGAGTCAATTGTCCAATTACTTATGGTCCCTTGAAAAAGGGGGGGCGTACATATTAAGGAGCTGTAATTCCTTAAGCTTTCCTCCAATTGTGATGAGAATACCCTCAAATTAAGTGTGCACTTTAAGCCCATATTCATTATATAACTGTAAGTTGAATATGTTTTGGTCAGCAGCTAAAATAATAAACATTGTGCCAGTGTCCAAATATATATGGACCTAACTGTATTTGCTAGTGCAGTGATACACATTGTATTATTACCTGTTACTATATGATGTCTCTTCAGCATCTCAACATAAACCGCTCTTTTTCCCTATATAGGTCTATTAAATTTCTGTTTGAAGTGTTTGACATCACTGATGTAAAGATGATGGTTTTACTGAAACATCGGCGCTACATGACCGCACTCCTGAGCTCCACTACCATCTTGTTACTTCTGTACTTTCAAAACTATCTGTTGGTTTTGACCTACGGTTCTTCCGGTTTCATCTCCAAGAAAGTGCTGTGTGCATGCAGTATCTGTGTGACAGACCGAGAAAATAGTATCTGGTTCAGTGAGCGATACGATCCCAACATTCCACTTCTGCTCAACAGCACCAACAGTGTATTACGTGCAAACGTCTCCAGGTGGTGGAAGGTAAGAAAGATTGCTGCAAAATAAATATACAACATTTACTTACCATAGGGATCCTCAAAATAAGAGTTTTGTGGCTTTTCATCCATGTTTAATGCCAACATAGAAAAACGCTGCTAGAGAAAACAAGCATGTTTAATTTAACTTTCACTAAGGGGCTGTTTACACCTGGTCACGTCATGCGTTTTGTCTGATCGGATAGCTATCCGATCGTGAAAAGACCAGGTGTAAATGCCCTCCGAAACGTATTCGAGACGGATATAAATCCGATTGCTCAAACCACTTCAGGAGGAGGTCTGGGCCGCATTCCAGACGAAACTGGACCAGTGTAAATGCATCTGGTTGTTGAAACCACATATGTAAATTTTACTCCTCCCAAAATGTTAAAATAATAAACGTGTGAGAGCGTGTTAAAGGCTATATGACACTATAGTCAGACTGCGCTAATGCAACACGCATTACCGCGGACGAGTATCTGAGTACAGCAAGCAGACGCGCAAACTGCCGCGAATGAAACAAAGTAAGACGCAAACAGTCAACACACAATCATCTTCATTAAAAGTAGTAAGACAAACGTATCTTTCCAGTGCTGATGCCGCGCGCTCTCCTATTGCGGTCTTTGATCTTGAAATGAGCTGATAATTAATAAAATGCAGCACTTATCTTTTGATTTCGTTGACGTGAACTCCGGTAAATTTAAATATAGCGCGGGAATTGAAGATCGGCTTTAAATCCATTTTGCGATGACACATTAATGTGGCCAAATGTAAATAGAAACGTTTTAACAAATCAGATAGATATCCGATCAGCGAAAACGCATGAAATGACCAGGTGTAAACAGGCCCTTAAAACCTCATAGTTAGACCTTTTGACAACTAACTCTGGTATATATTCTTCATTCATAATGCCTTAAAATCATAAGCTACTGTAAACGTCTTGAAATAGTACACTTCTGCAGTACAAATACTTTTACAGGAGTGGATATTATACTTAATTCTGATTCTAACTGATTTAATAATATCACACAGGAACTACAATCAAATGCCGGCAGCTACACGAAGGTGGTGGATCAGTTGTTTCCTCTCTTCCCTGATAAAGAGCACTACTCAGACGCCGGTCCAGATCGCTGCAGAGCCTGTGCTGTGGTGGGAAACTCTGGGAACCTGCTGGGATCCAATTATGGTCCTCTCATAGATTTCCATGACTTTGTCATGAGGTACATGAGATTATATTGGCCTGTATTTAGTTGCTTGTAAGGTTGTCTTTCACTTTTCAAGTTAATGAGAGTGTGGAGAATAATGAAGCATATCGATGGAACAGATGTGTGCATTTATCGACTGAGGCTGAGGTCAAATGCCTTGAGTCATGAGATCACATTAGATCAGGGGATTCCAGATTCCTGATTTCCAAAGATACCTTAAAGCCTTTTCATTAGAATACCATGCACACCTCTATCTCCTGAGTGTTTTTCTCTTAGTCACCTATATTTTATCTTAGGATAAATAAAGGTCAGACAGAGGGTTATGAGAAGGATGTAGGGTCAAAGACGACTCACCGGATTGTGTATCCTGAGAGCGCTGTGGACTTGGACAACTCCACCCATCTGGTGCTTTTTCCCTTTAAGATTCTGGACATTCAGTGGCTCATCAGTGCCTTCACCACTAAAAACATCACACAGTAAGAATTAAACACACATTTGTGAACACAAGACTGAGAGAATTATATATTATTAGATGTATATATTATTTATATACATTTCAAAAGTAATTTGTTTCCTCAAAATAAGCAAAAAGTACATATGTTATATATAAATGTGACAGATGAATGCTAAAAATAGTTTAATACTGAAATCAAAACATACAAAACACTAAGAATACAAGGAACTGAACTAAAACACCAAGCAACAAGAAACTGAGAACTGGATGCTTTCGAGGCACTGCTTTGTGAATCATTTGTTTTGAATCAGTGATTTGGGAAGCGTATCAAACTGCCAAAGTCATGTGATTTCAGTAAACGAGGCTTTGTTACCTCATAACTGTTTAAAAAATGTCAATGGCTCGCCACTGGGGGCCGATGATCTCTGTAAACCCCATGGACCACTGTCTATATGGTTTTTACCTGATCTCAGATCAGTTTTATGAATTTTTAGACATTTTTAATTACAATTACTTATTGGTAAAGGGTGTGGAACTGCCAAAATGTCAATACTGAAGCACTTCCTTGTTAAATATGTCGTTGGTTTGAAACATCATCTATAAACATCGAATAAGGACAGGAACCTGCTGGGATCCAATTATGGTCCTCTCATAGATTTCCACAACTTTGTCATGAGGTACATGAGATTATATTGGCCTGTATTTAGTTGCTTGTAAGGTTGTCTTTCACTTTTCAAGTTAATGAGAGTTTGGAGAATAATGAAGCATATCGATGGAACAGATATGTGCATTTATCGACTGAGGCTGAGGTCAAATGCCTTGAGTCATGAGATCACATTAAATCAGGGGATTCCAGATTCCTGATTTCCAAAGATACCTTAAAGCCTTTTCATTAGAATACCATGCACACCTCTATCTCCTGAGTGTTTTTCTCTTAGTCACCTATATTTTATCTTAGGATAAATAAAGGTCAGACAGAGGGTTATGAGAAGGATGTAGGGTCAAAGACGACTCACCGGATTGTGTATCCTGAGAGCGCTGTGGACTTGGACAACTCCACCCATCTGGTGCTTTTTCCCTTTAAGATTCTGGACATTCAGTGGCTCATCAGTGCCTTCACCACTAGACACATCACACGGTGAGAATTAACCATATATTTTTGAATACAAGACAGTAAATTAGGTGATAGAATTTAATATATCACACACAAGAATGTACATACAATTATACACCCTGTAAAACAATAAAAATTTATTAAAATTGCATTTCATATATATATCGTCAAATTAAGTTAAAGATTACATTTTATATGTGACGAATAAATGTTAAGTTTCATGAAGTTAATAAAGAAAAAATACAAAAGACTAAGAATACAAGGAACTTAACTAAAACGACTTTTTTGAGCCAATTTAAAAGAATTATATGCACACACTTTGAAGGAAGAAAATACATTGTTTTTCTGAAAAGTTTATGCAAGTTTTTGCTTTCAAATCACACTTTGGTTTCTTGATATCTGTTACATATTCTGTTACAGAACATACACAATAGTGCCATCTACAATCAAAGCAAATAAGGACAAGGTGAACAACACAAACCTTCTCATGAAATCAACCAATCAAATAACAAATGCTGATTTGTTTTCATTTTCTATGGTTTACTAATATTACCTGATTGAAATCTTGATACTTAAAACATGATATTATAAATACATATTTCATAAATGTCCTGTTTTATTTCTGTCATTGTTTTCAGGTGGTGATCCTCCACCCAGAATTCATAAGATACGTCTATTATAACTGGGCAGAAAGGCATGGCAGATATCCATCCACTGGTTTCTTATCACTGATATTTGCTCTTCACATCTGTGATGAGGTAAAACTCTCTAAAACATACTACTACTAAAACTACTACTAAACATACTGTTTTTCGCATACTATATAGCATTCGATTTCAGATGCAACGTGTCTCCTTTGTAGTAAAAAATTGTGAGATATTTGTGAGATAAAATGTTAAATTAACAATTTTACAGTTATAACTAGGGCCAAGCTATAATGGTTAAATTGTTGATTATTATTTTGCTAAAAACAACAGTATTCATGATTACTGTCATTTTAGATTATTATTTTTTTTTAATTTCATCAGAATTATTACATGAAGCACAAACCAAGAGAGCGTCAACTTGCATGGTTTGCTCGCAGATTTAGTCGCAGCAAAAGAACACAGACTGGCTGTATTACATATTTATTTGTGTAATTGTGTGTTTTTACGTTTTATCACTTAAAATAGAGTGTGTGTATATATATATATATATATTAAAGCATTTCTTTACAAGGACAGAGAAACTAATAATGCATGAATAACTCTTTCTCATACAGGTGAATGTGTTTGGGTTTGGAGCTACGAGTGATGGAATCTGGCATCATTATTTTGATAAAACATTGACTTCATATGAGATCAGCGTTCATGCTGGAAGATTTGAAAATGAAACAATCAATCGGCTCCAACAGGAAAACAAGATTCTGATGCACAAAGGTTGGACATGAAGCAGAAACACACCATCAGTACTGTGCAATATTGCATTGCATTGCAATATCGAATATTGAATTTTGCAGATTTGTGATTTGATTTTCAGTTGAGATTCCTCTCGAGAGATCAACTTTTCTTAAGTGTTTCATTTGAGCTCCTCTATCGGCCCCCAGTGCTGCGCAGTAACTGATTACATGTAATCTGGATTACGTAATCAGATTCCAAAAATTAAGCACTTGTAATTAGAATGTATGATACAAATAATTATGTTACTAAACTCTATGTTTTCATCATATCCAGTGACCTTCAGTAACTGTTGGTTCTGGAAGTCTGGACAAAATAAAATTCAAACCTAGAAGAATTTGGGCATGTAATGTCATGTATTTTATGATGCTGATGTCAAAAAATGGAATATATTTTCTTTCTATTTGCTTCGTTTTATATCAATATGGTATGTTTAGTGGTACATTTAAAACAAGTTTGATAAATAGTAATCTAAAAGTAATCTAAAAAGTAGTCCGAATACATTACACAGTAAGTTTTTATAATGTAATCTTTAATCAGTAACAGGCTACAATTTGTAAGTAAACTACCCAGCACCAGCACCAAATAAAATTATGCCATAGGCTGGTTACTTTTTTCTTTTGTTGAACCAGTCGGGATGTTCAAACACCACAGAGTCACAGTATTTACAGTGTTTAAAAGGTGTTTAATACACATAAGTAGACTAATGCATTGTTGTATTGTAATTTCTTTTTGTTTTATTGTTGCATGTTATATACTGCGTTCATACTGTGGAAGAAAAAATTTTTTATGTTGAGTGACAAAGCCAATTTTTTAATTTTCTACATTGTATACAATAGACTCAGTGTTTTAACTGACCTACAGTACACAACTGAGTTCAATACTGTATGCAGAGAATGTAAATTCAGTTCTAACACTACTGTTTCACACTGAACAAGGTTGCCAGGTTGGCAGAGCAGGGTTTCAAATCCCTGGTTAAAAAGTGGTGCTAACCCCGCTTCTAAATTACATGTGTGAAACGATAACCCAGGGGTAAGCAACCGCAGTGTTGAAGAAAAGAAAAGCCCTTTAAGCTGCAATGTTTTTATCTTTTCTTATTATATTTAAATATTCTTGTAGTTTTTTTTAGTTTAACACAGGCTCAGGCCAGACAATCTCATGTTAAACTTTATACAAAGGACTTTTTTTAAATAAGCATGTTTAAAAAAAACACTGTACATTGTGCCTGTATTTTCTTCTTTCAAAAGCATCGCACGGTTCTCTTGACCTGCTCTTGTCTCGTGCAGGATCAGATATACAGCATCAAATAAAAATCTGAACCCTTGTGTACATTAAACTGTAATATGAGGCATGTGCTTTTGTTATTGGGTGTAAAATTGCTGGAAAGAATAGGTCAATGTTTGTCTTAAAAGGTGAACGATGTGCTGTTCAGGGCAACTGGGTTGCCCAGTTATGAGTGTTAATGGTAAAACTTACTTACCCCACCTTTTTGAATAGTAAATATTAAGCAGAAAAAAAAATTTCAACATTGATAAGCAGCAAATAAGCATATTATAATGATTTCCGAAAGATCATGCAAAAAATCAGCCATCAGAGAAATAAATTTCCTTTTGAAATATATTCAAATAGAAAATAGTGCTTTTAAATGGCAATAATCTCACAATATTACTATTTGTACTTATTTTTGATTAAATAAATGCAAAACATTTGTGCACTGAAGGTTTCAATATTTCAATTCGAAGGATTCAGCTAAGATAGCATCAAAATAACATATTTTACATTGAACACAAAATATGATTTTGTGAAAGAATCAGTCTTCAGATTTTAGATGGGTTTTCAAGGCGCAAACAAACTCACTGAGCTTTAGAGAAAAACATGCAAATAAATGTTCTCTCCAACAACTAAAAAAAAAAAAAAAAAACTCACAAAATGGACATTCCTGAATTATTTTTCTACTTTAAAATGCTATACACAAATGGCATATTTATTTCCCACCGAAACCATATTGCACACACAGGATTGTGGCATATCACTAGTTAGAAGCCTTGTTAGCAAACTTCAAAGGGCTGGAGTAGATGACTGGTGACATGATCAAATTTAGTTATCTGTTGTGCCATGGCCGACTGTATGAGGAAGAGCTTGTGCATTTGTATGCGGGTGTGACACATTTACAGACACGCATTTTACTGGATTTTTTATTTATTTATTTATTTTTGTGATTCAGTCTGCTTTTCAGAAGAGACATTCCAGTTTTTCCATTCCAGACATTCCGGCTAGCGCTTCGCGTCGGGTGGTTGGCCTCCACATCGTGCATTAAAATCATTTAATGCACAGCTAGCCATGCATTATCCCTTATATTTGTTTATTTACTGCATTGAACATTTTATATAAAGGGCTTTGCTATTTGAGAGATTTAAAGGTAAATGATCCCCACTTGACATACATTAAAGGGGTCATATGATGTTGCTAAAAAGAACATTATTTTGTGTATTTGGTGTAATGAAATGTGTTTATGCGGTTTAAGGTTCAAAAAACACATTATTTTCCACATACTGTACATTATTGTTTCTCCTCTATGCCCCACCTTTCTGAAAAGCGTCGATTTTTACAAAGCTCATCGGCTGTTCTGGAACAGTGTTGTAGATACAACTTAACCCCCTGATTTCTAGTCATGTCCTCTTTTGGAAGGCCAAACATAGTATTTTCGCTTTCGCAACGAAACACACAGCGTCTTCACAACATGGCGGCGGCGGTGGCAGCAACAATAAAGTTACGCCTTCTTTCTTTGCGTGAATATTTGGGCGGCGTTATGCAAATCTTCCCACATCGTGACGTAGACATGTGGGGGCGTGTTTAAACGCGGCGTTTTAGGAGGGTGTGAACCAGTCTTTTATAAAGAATATCTCTTTGGGTTTGAGACTTTAGTCTTTGCAACTTTAGGGATCTTATCTATTCACGAACAGCTTGTAACACTCCAAAGAGAAAGGAAAACTTGAAATCGCATCATATGACCACTTTAATGATCTGCTGCTTCCCTAAAAATGGCATATGACGACACTGGTAATCAAAAAAAAATGTTGTAAGGTGTTGCAACCCTGTTTAGTCTCTTTCCAGTTTTCAGGGAATTAAACATCTGTGATTAATGTGCATCCCTGTCTGGTATGTGTACACAATACCGGTTGCAGGTTATTGCACATGTGACATTCGCATGGTTATTTCAGTTTGATAATGAGAGTTCTGCTAGATTTGATTGAGGTAGTATTTGATGATTGAAACATCCTGTCATTCTCAGACAATGTGTAATGTCTACACACAATCAAAGAACAAAAAGACTTCAGTTCCTCATGTCATAACAGTAAACTCCACCAAGAAACAACATTACAGCATCTGGATACAGAATGTTTCATAAGGCAACAGCTAAGACAAGAACAATACTGTTATTATGTTTATTTTTCATGTATGCACAGATCCCATCAAAGGACCTCACTTTTTAGAAATATACATAATTTCAGATATATTTCCTCTATATTCACTCTCTGCCCTGTCACGCTTGTCAACTAAGAAAATGCTGTTAGACTAATAAATCAACTTCTAAACCACCCTGGTGAAGATTTAGCATGAAAATATAACAAACCTGTGTAGAAACTTAGACCAACATAAAAATGAACACTTCTGTGGACAAGTTGAGTTCGTAAAACAACCTAAAGCAATGTTTTACATACTTCAGCAGCGGATGATTGACATAATATTATAAACCACTAAATAATGCTCTCTGAAATTATGATTGGGTTTAATCTTTCCATCTCTGTTTCCAGCTGAATTTAATCTGCCACTTAATCTGTTAAAAATAATAATAATAATAATCATGGGTTTCACGCAGTTGCAATTGTTTAACAATTAGCTTGATTTACACTAAAAATTTGGTCGTTCTGATTGGATACTGTACTTCTCAAATTAATTATTTTTGAATTTTGGGAATGACAAGTGTCAACAGTAATTTTATCTGCCAAATCATCTTTAAAGTCAAAAAACTTTGTAAATACCTTACTGTAGATGAGAAAAATATTTTAGAGTAACAGGAACTTTCTGAGCATGAATTATTTGCACCTGAATAAAATACACTTAAAAGCTGTTTGTTTTCTTTCTTTAGGCAACATAAAAGGAAACCAACACTTCTGAGACCCAAAAACAAGATTTCACTCAAGATAAACTGAAACCTGAGATCCTGGATCAACTTCCTTGTTTTATAATGACTGGGTTCACAAAAGTGTTGTGATTCTTTTGAAAAGAGAGATATAATTTATTCCTATTTTAAGACAAAAACAATGTTATTATTGTTGTTGTTGTTGTTTTTTGAATTAGCAAATTTATTTCTGTGACAGAATTAAACTTTAACAAATACATTTGCAATTCAATACAGCTAAAAAAAAATTTAAAATCATGACTCAATTTCCCCCGTGAAATGCATGAGTTTTGGCACATTGACCTTTTGTATGTAAACCAGTCTCCTGTTCTGGCATTTTACTGGACACTGCTTCCTTACACAGGGATTGGACAAAATAATGTGAATACCTGGGAAATAGGTAATATTTCTTTATTAAGGTGTTTTACCACCATTCGCCTTTAATACAACTTCATACAACTTTTGAATCCAGTAGAATGTTTATTAAAATAAGTTTTAGTAATTTATTTTTTGTTCGTTTTGTCATTTTTTGTTAGTTGTACATTTATAGCCTATGTCTATTTATTTTTTCAGTATGTTTTGTGCATTTAATTTATCTATAAATTTATTTCAGTTTTAGTTTTAGGTATTTTAGTACATCAATATAAACTGTGGGATAATGAATGTTTCATTCATGTCACTGTATTTTTATACAATTCATTAATTGTAATAAATTGTTTTAAATTTATAATTAAAAATCATTCACTTCAAGCTCAGCAGGTTCAACTTGACTGATAATGGAAGTTTTAAAGTCTGGTTATACAGTATACTCAGTTATAATGAT